TAGTTCGCCTGGTTCAGGCGTGCTACACGGCTGAAGCACATGTTGATTTATACTGCCGTGCTTTACATGAGCCGTACCAAATGCATAAATTATGATAAAATAGAACATTTATAGTACGCGAGTTTTGATTGGTCGAGTAGCGAGTTTCTACACTGGAAATTTCCCGCCTAAACTTACAATCGTAAACAAAACAATTTTAATGCAAATTAAGAAACTTTAAAAAGAATTTTACCTACTCAGCTCATTTTGTAAATGTTTCAGTCAAAATACAAAAACCTTCCCACTTACTACTACAAATATTTTTTTAGTTATATCATGAAATAAATATAAAACATTTATTATGTGTGACCTATACAGCTATAGAAACACTTGTAGTAGTTTGGGAAAATTTGAATAACGTGGAAAACTCGCCCTAAGCCTATAGGTCTCGTTTTCCCATACATTATATCCAAGCATTATGCTATGTTTGTAGTAATAAGGCTTTTCAAAAAGCGGTTAAAATTTTTAATAACCGCAAACTAGTTGACGCTCAGAAATGCCAAGATTGTATGTGATAAACCCTTTTTTCTTATTATGAAATGTCACTCGCCCCAGGTTTCGAAGTGAAGCAGCGCAAATTATTAAGTACGGCTCATGAAAAGCACTGCGTCTAAACCGGGCCTTAGATTTATTCCAACTTAATAATAATTATAAATATGTATATATCAACTTAAGTACCAAAGGGGGTTCATTTTCAATGGTTTTAGACCCAAATCTCAACGGTGGAAATATGCGATTCTGACCAACATTTTTTATGGAATTCGTATTTGCTGATTTTTTATCCATTTGGCATGAAGAAGATATCATTAAACAGCTAAAAGCATGATCTTTCCGAATGTGAAAAAATCTCGTTCATACGCATAGTAATTCAGATGCAATAGTGCGCTGAAGTTTAAAAGATGCCTGCTTCTTGGAAGCGGCTTTAACCACTGACACTGTGGATATGTACGTTAGGATTTACTCATTAACAATTAGACAACGAGGCCGAGCGAGTTGTCTATGATCGAATAGTCAACGAGGCAAAGCCGAGTTGACTATTTGCTCATAGACAACGAGGCTGAGTTGTCTAATTGTTTTAGTATAAACTTTAACATTAATTTACAACTAGGCTGCAAACACAATACAAAAATACACAAAAAACTTTTTAAAACCATTAAAGATAAACAAATAATTTAGTTTTTGTTCGCGTAAAATGTTTTACAAAATTCAGTTTTAATTTTAAAATTTCATTGAATGTATGTTATTTTGTCTATTTTCTTACCCTTAAAAATTGCCATTCCACATTTTTGTTGCTTTTTTCGGGAGGTTTTTAGTACAGAATTGTTCAACAAGTCGTCCAAAAAATCATCAGACACAATTTTCCGCCATTTTGAATTTTCTATTAGTAGGCTATCGCTAATAGCCTACTAGTAGCGTAGCCAATCAGAAGGCACGATATGTGATAGCCTACTAGTAGGTTTATACTAAATATGATTAGTCGATGTTCATTAATTGTTGACTAAGATTTCTTTATTATAGTGCAAATTTACATGTGGAGACAGGATAAGATTAAATTCGCTTTGCATCACATATTGCGCTTACCTACAATTACATACTAAGCCTAGACTATTTTATCTTTTACAGCAATTGTGATTATTCAATTACTTTATAGTTTCCGTGTTTGGATGGCCTGATCCAAACAGGCTGGAATGTTATGAGAGTTGAGAAAAGCGCGCGAAACACGAAACACTTAACTCAAGCAACATTCCCGCCTGTTTGGATCAGGCCATCCAAACACGGAAACCATAAAGTAATTACACTGGCCTGTAAGGCCAAGTGTCTTAAATTCCCTTTTTTCTGTTTTTTTCGTAGTCGAGAAATCGAGTTTGCGTTAGCTCATCGCAGGCTCAGGGTGCAACGATTAAGCCAAAATGCCATCGATTCCCTCGGTTCCATGATTTAGATAGTATAGTAATAAGCTCGTATATATGTACGTAATAGCCGACTCATGCCATGCTTGTGGTACATTTTTCGTTTATTAGCCTATACACTTGTACGCACGCGCACAATTCCGAACTGCAATGGCGACTTTTCACAGAGTGATCAAACTATATTTTACACTGTTTCGTTGAATTTTCAAAGAATTGTGCCGGTTTCCTATGTATTTTACGTTGTGTCGTATACTCTGGCCTTCCTTGCGTGTTGAATTAATGTGTTTTGTTTTTCTTTGTGTAATGACTCGAAAACCACAAAATATAACATTTAGTACTCCACGAAATATAATCCGCGCGAAAAGCTTTGTGGTAGCTATACTAAAGATAAAGCGTGCGCTCAAAATACCTACAAAAACTAGAACCATTATTGTATCATTTGTATGGTTCTCATTTGCTAGACTTGCCACAAGTCGACCTCGAAGAAACGCATTTCGTTCGAGGTCGACTTGTGGCAAATCTACACATTTACAATAACATTACTTCGACGCGAATTTTAATACAAGTATGATATCATATTTCATAATACAACAAACAATGTAAACTAGCCATACATTTTGCCGAACATAACTTCAGCCCCTTTGGGCATATCTTTTTCGTGATAATGTTATTGGAACCAGAATCAAAAACACTATTTATAGTGTTATTTTCAAGCTTGTGTCTTGAGATTTTCATTTTTTATTTCGGTATATACAGAATATTTATATTTTAGCGCGGCCCATAGAACGCACATGAAAACAACGCGCTGTTAGGAAAAACCAAAAATCGATTCTGTAGGTCGCCATGATTTGCACGTGCATCGATCTCCATTACGTCTCCCGAAAAGGTCTTTTATTTTTTTAAAAGTCCATAAAGTTTGCTTGCGGTTTAAGATTTGCATTCCTGCCTTTTGCACCATAGCACGTATTTCGTTATTTTCAGGCCAGTGTGAAAGCCTGAGCAGGCGTCTTGTTGTTTTATAAAATAACAACTTTCCGTGTTAAAATTTCGCTTTAAAAAAACTTTTACTTTAAATTTCCGTGTTTGGATGGCCTGATCCAAACACGGGTTTCGACCAATCAGAGCACGCGTTATATACATGTTATTTTATAAAATACTTTCTTAATTTAACTGTGTTTATCCTATTAGGCCAAAAAAAAAAAATGTGGGTTTCCGGTTTCCCGACCCTACCTAGCTTTTGGACGACGAAATCCCGACCCTAAACTTTTTTATTGGATCACGCTTGTAAGTGTTTCCACTTAGAGGAAAAAGTTTGTGGAAAATTGAAATTTGAGGCAATATTAGGGAAATTTATCTTTGGATGTGGAAGCACCGACTAAACAAAATGGCGTCCGGTTGTTCGGAAAATTAAAAAAAAAGTTTAAAAAAAAAAGTTAAAACCGACCTACCCTACCTAAGTTTTTATAAGAAGAAACCGAAAACCCACATATTTTTTTTTTTGGCCTAACCCACTCTGCATGTGAACATTCCCTGTTGGAAGAAACCACAACACCTCAAGAAACCCCATGCACGACTTTACTTTCGGCAGAGCGTTGATTGACTCTTTAACACGACAATCTCAAGGTGAAAGGCACTTGCTCTGACGATCGACTACGCTATCGAAGCTCCGAGAAAGCGCCCTCTCTCCCCAGATTAATATGGGTCACATTATATAAATATCCTGGTTTCTAAAAGACTCGTTTAGTTCAATATCTAATAAAATATAAATAAAATTAAATAGAGAATAATACATGGGTGCGCAGAAATACCAGATTAATTTCGTGAGAACATGAGATCTCACGAAATCTCTATAAAGTACTATACTTTATATAATAAATAATTATAATTATCTAGTCCTAAGGGTCTTCCATGCAGTAGCAATGTAATATAATATGGCAGTGATGTAAAAGTTTTTTAGGTAAGTTAAGCAAGCGAAACAGCTCTGATTAAACTGACTTACATTTTTATAAATACGGTCCAGTATCCCAGGCTTCTTAATAACCGTTGGAAAACCAATCAAATCTCTCATTTTCTGCAACTGTGCAAAAAGAAAAACAAGGTTATATGAAACATGAACACGACTATTTTCTTCATTCCTTCTTAGGAGTAAGGGTGACATTATTAACTTTTCAATTTTCTTCAAAATCGTCTCATCGTTCATTTCTTTTAGTTTTTACCAGTATTCCATAACAGTTTAGGTGATGCCCACAAGAAATGCTGAATTGTTCAAATTGATTATAAAAGCATGAGCTGCAGCCAAGACTACATTTTGCCACATTACTAACCTTAAGACGAGCCTGAGCGCGGGTTGCATAATCCATCCATGTTTGTTCTTCCAAACCATCAATAAACTGACTTTTTATCTCTTTAAACATTTCTTCTGCCTAGAAACAAGTTGTTAAATCAATACATAAGTCGAATTATTATAGCTGCTATATTATATGTGTAATCTGAGCTTAAAGGACATGCCTATATACTGTATGACCCTTTTTTCAGTTTTGTTTTGTGAAAGAGATCAAAAAGTAAAAAATAATAGCAAAAAACCACTGTTTGGTATATTTCTACTCTAAATGAGTTGGAGCTAATACATATACCTGAAGGACTGCAAATGTAATGGACTGATGCATAACATGTACATGACATTGGTGCATGACATGTACAGACATTTTATAAACCCGCAACTGGTAGAGTAGTTCGTTTTCACTCGTCAAATATTTTTGCAACCTTTGCGTAGTTTCAAAATATTAATTAAATATTGATTTTTTGTTCATAAAAATTAAATGAGATGAGAATTAATTTTGCAGTAGCATGTAATGCATGACACGTAATGCATCGCTTGTCTGATGTGACAGATGCAGTTGCCCAAACAAGTTTTGATGCGCTCTGATGCATGAAAGGATTTAGGTCGTTTGTCATTTATTCAGTGGCAAATTAAGGAGAAAACTTCGAGAAAATGAGGCAATTGATACCCAGTTACTATACAAGCAATAAGTCTCCTTTTCTTCTAATGCCAACAAAACCACATTACATAATACATGCACCAATAGACTGCCAATTCGAAGTTTCTATTGCGCATCCAAATGATGCGTTCTGTGCCGGCAACAGATTGTAGTTGAACTGTAAATAACAAGTGGCTGTGGCAGGAGGAATTTAGAATATGCATATGCAAGTATTTAAATGTCTAATCATCACTGCATGGATATGGAAACGTTGCTCAAAGAACAAATATAGTTTCTGCACGATTGAGTCGCTTCAAATTAGAAAATATCTTCTCTTATAGGTGTCCCTTTCTCTATTTTGCTTTATACAGTATGGGTAAACTATGCTAGAACGAAATTTATATAATTTTTAATTCTAATGTGGCTATAAGTGAAACACAAATGATGCATGATTGAACAGTTTAATACTTTGATATGCCGCATATTCTAATTCTTCCGATCTTAGCTATAATGGTCTAGTTATAATGGCATTATTGCTAACAAAGTTAAATAGGAGAGACGGGGTTAGAAACTCATTAAAATCATACAATAAGCAATTATTGGATGAGGCTGAGCATGATATCAAGAATTATTCAGACCGAGGTCAATGTTATCTGCCGAAGCGAAGCTGAGGCGGATAACATAGACCGAGGTCTGAATAATTCTTGATATCATGCGAAAGCCGAATCCAATAATTGTTTTATTATACATTTAAAGACATGAGAAACGTATAAAACGCTTCCTGTTCATGAGGTAGGAAAAGTACAATTTGAATATCAAACACCTTGCACAAAGTCAAAGGTCAGCTAAATATTCTATTTCTACTTCTATTTACCCCTTTGTGGCTTTTTTCTTGCTTTCACTATCCTTATCTGCCAATAATTCGGAGAGTTCACTTTCATTCAGCGAAGCAAATCTGCTGTCGGCCATTGTTTGTTTGTTTTTTTCGCGCGCTTTTTGGTTCAAGCTTTTGGCCGCGCAAGGGTTTGGGTACGAGAGAGTCCAATAATTTTTTTTTTGGATGCAAGTTCGATCCAAAAAAACAATTATTGGACGCTGATGACGTCATCGGCGAAAAATACGTAATAAATGCCGAATACTGAAAATTAGCCGGTGCTTTCTGACCAATTAGAAACGAGAATACATATTAAATGTATAATAATATAAGTTATACTGTATGGTAACTCACTATCTATGTTTATATTTAGGTTTATTCAGAAGTGTGGTCCTTCGTCGTCAAGTGTGTATTGTATTTTTGCCCAACTAAGGGATGGATGTCACAATATTTCGCTTGATTTCTTTTGTATTGTGACCATCTGAATAAATCAGTTCTATTTGACTGCTTGCAACTCAAAAAAAACTGAACGAAAATTAAATTTAACTAATAGCAATGTTTTGGAAAAGTTAGCTATCCGTGACTTGAGTAATTGGGTAACTTCAAAATTGCTATTGGTGGATTTGGCAGATGGTTGTCCAATACTGTCGCAAGTCGTGATTCACGAGTCGTGTTATTGATTTTGTATATTAGAGGTATAAATTAGTTCACGAGTGTGCTTATAATATAATGATAAGCACCACACGAAATTCGTCGGCTCGTTAAATTTGTGAAATGTTGCGATTCGTGACTTTTAGGTTATATGCACTTTAGCACAAACGTTGGCTAACACAGATAATAAGTTATATTTTCATTCTAATGAGTTTCTAAACCACATCTTCTGTCAGAGGAGGAATGAATGAAGGTCTTCCCGAAATGCAACGCGCGCCTCAATGCGGCTCATTATTATTCAAAATATTTAATATTCTCAACGCGCATTCTCAACGCATATTCTCAACGAATATTTTTCTTTACTCGTTTACAAACTGTTGAAATATATTGCGATTTTTGCTGTGAAGATCTCGTCTTCTCAAGGTACGTCTTGATAACTTTTTTGTTTAGTAATTTAATAAAAGACTTTGGGAATAATTTGGTATATATATCGCATTTTACTATGTTAAATTCCCATTGTATATATGCATGTCTCGGGTCAGTGAATAGGACCTTCAAAGTGGCATTTAAATATTCATGAGAAAATTATACTTAACTAAAACCACATCAGTGAAATCAGGAACGTTTACTCTTAGTCTAGGACCTGCATATGAGTTTGTATTTAGGACAGGTAATCTCAACTGTTTTAAGGTAAAATGATCATGGCGGTCAACATGGAATATGTGCCAAAACCTGAATCCGGGACGAAAATCCTGAAAATAACCCCGCCCTGAAACGGCCGTGTCGACATAGCTCTAACTTCTGAAAAGGAAAAGGAAAAGCAATAGCCTTTTTAAAGTGCTTATAGTGTTCAGAAGGGTTGGTTTTATGGGTGGTCATTGGAAGGAAAAATTTGTCTAAGTATAATATTTTTCAAGAAAATGACCATGCACCACCCCAGATAAATTGCTAATTATGCACAAAAAAACTAATACGCCTGGCAGCAATTAAATTTTCTTATTTCCTAAAAAAAATTATCATGGGGTGAAAACGATGCTCAATTTAATACAATTATTGTGGATTTCATAAGGATTGTCATTATTTTCATCAAATATAATACATTTTATTTCACTTATCCCCCACGGATATTTTGTGGTCTTGTTTGCATTTTATTGCCGAATCTGGCAAATATCATCCAGTTGTTGTACTTTTACATAATCATAAATGGGTGAAGAATATTTCAAAGAAGGTTTCATCAAGTTTGGAAACAGTGCAGTGTATTTTATCTTCGATATTGTGTCCTTCGATATTTCGTGAAATATGGGGCCATTGCAATGGCTGCTACATGAGCTCCACATTTGAATTTACTATATGAGTAAATTCTTAAACACGTCCGATATTATCATTATGATAAATTCGCGGCACATTTTGAATTTATCAATAGAGTTAATCATAAACCTACAAGCATTACACAAGATTTCCTGTTATAAATGTAATGGCACTCAGAAGAGAGGCTGGTCGCGCCAGCATGAGCTCCACCTTTAAATTTACTATATGAGTAAATTCTTAAACACGTCCGAATATATCATAATAAATACGCGGCAAATTTTGAATTTATCATAATAATAAATACGCGGCACCTAACACTAACCCCAACCCTAACCACTAACCCCTAACCACAGAATAAGGCACACAGAAGGGCTACTTACGTCGGAAGCTTTAAAGTTTCTGTCACCCTGGCCGCCATCTTGCTAGCCAGTCGATTACATTTTCTGGCCAATAAACGCGCTGTATTGGCCGAAGGCCCCGCCTTCTGGCCAATCAACTGCATATTTTTGCATAGAAAAATGGTGACACGTTGCAACGCTGAGTGGCCCTTCTGGTACTGATCTTTATTCTGTGCCCTAACCACTGATCCCTAACTTTTTTAACTTTTTAAATTTTTTTAACTTTTTTAAAAATCTAACTTTCTAAACTTTTCTTGCTTTTCAAAACTCTTTTAAAACCTCTTAAAACTTTTTCAAAAACTATTTTTTTAAAAAACATAGTGCCATTACATTTATAACAAGCAATCTTGTGTAATGCTTGTGGTTTTATAATTAACTATATTGATAAATTCAAAATGTGCCGCGAATTTATCATAATGATAAATTCGGACGTGTTTAAGAATTTACTCATATAGTAAATTCAAAGGTGAAGCTCATGTTGGGTCGCGCAGGGGTGGCGATTTTTCCAAGTTTTCTAAAAAAATAGTTTTTAATAAAGTTTTAAAAGAGTTTTGAAAAGCAAAAAAAGTTTAAAAAGTTAGATTTTTTAAAAAGTTAAAAAAAGTAAAAAAAGTTAGGGTTAGGGATTAGTGGTTAGTGGTTAGGGGTTAGTGGTTGGGGTTAGGCTTGGGGTTAGTGTTAGGTGCCGCGAATTTATTATTATGATAAATTCAAAATTTGCCGCAAATTTATCATAATGATAAATTCGGACGTGTTTAAGAATTTACTCATATAGTAAATTCAAAGGTGGAGCTCATGTTGTTCGCCGCTTCTCTGCCCGATAAATGCCACTTCTTCGTCTTTCTATGTATTTAGATTACAGTATCCAGAAGTAATTCATTGTAGAATAGTCCCAATCAAAAAATTGAAAATATTAGTTGTACTTGAAAGGAGAAAACCGACAATAATATTTGTCCAGTCAGAATTCAAAAGAAGTAATTTAAAAGTCACGCGCAAGTTCGTGAAAACTCCTTATGGGCTACCACAGCAACGTAACTAAACACACTATATTTATTGTATTTTTATGATTGATGATAAAAACAATAACTATTTGCGTATTTTTATCATCAATCATAAACATTAAACAAATATAGTGAATTTAGTTAGGTTGCTGTGGTGGCGAACAAACGTTTCGTGAAAATATTTAACCCCCCCCCCCCTGTCATGTAGCCCACGAACTTGCGCGTGACTTTTAAATTACTTATTTTGAATTCTGACAAGACAAGTGCATGTATTGGGAGGTTTTCTCCTTTCAAGTACAACGTAACTAATGTTTTCAATTTATCTATTGGGACTATTCTACAATAAATTACTTCTGGATACTGTAATCTAAATACATAGGAAGACGAAAAAGTGGCATTTATCGGGCAGAGAAGCGGCGAGCCGTTACACTGGCGCCATATTTCACGAAATATCGAAGGACACAATATCGACAATAAAATACACTGCACTGTTTTTAAACTGCACTGTTTCTTTGAAATCTTCCTCAGCCATTTATGATAATGTAAAAGTGCAACAACTGGATGATATTTTCCAGATTCGGCGATAAAAAGCAAACAAGACAGCAAAATATGGCTGAAAACGTGTTTTCGTGGGGGTAAGTGAAATAAAATGTATTTTAAAGTTAAAGAAAATAATGACAATCCTTATGAAATCCGCAATAATTATGTTAAATTGAGCATAGTTTTTTACCCCATGATTATGTTTTTTAGGAAATAAGAAAATTTTATTTCTGCCAGGCAAATTAGTTATTTTGTGCATAATAGCAATTTACTTGAGGCGGTGCATGAACAAGAAAATGTTCATGTAAAATATTATACTTAGACAAATTTTTCCTTCCAATGACCACCTTTAAAACGAACCCTTCTGAACACTATAAGCACTTCAGAAAAGCCATTGCTTTTCCTTTTCCTTTTTGGAAGTTAGAGCTATGTCGACACTGCCGTTTCAGGGCGGAGTCATTTTCAAGACTTTCGTCCCGGATTCAAGTTTTGGCACATATGCCATTTGATCACCATGATCATTTTATCCTAAAACAGTTGAGATTACCCGTCCTAAATGAAACGCATACAAACTCATATACAGGCTCTAGACTATCTTTATATAACGATACTTGAAAACATTAATTTACTCCATAAAACCAAAGTGAGCTATTTTTGCTATAATATTATAATTCTATAATAAAAACCAAAGTGAGCTATTTTTGCTATAATATTATAATTCTATAATAGCAGAAATAGCTCATTTTCAAACAGCAATAACTCTTCGGTTTTGTGGAGTAAATTCATGTTTTAAAGTATCACTATAAAGAGTAAACACTCCTGAATTTACTGATGTGATTCTATTGTAGTTATTTTAGTACAATTTACTCATGAATATATTTCAATGCCACTTTAAAGGTCATGTTCATTGATCCAAAACATGCATAAATACAATGGGGATTTAACATAAGTAAAACGCGATATAATTATATACAAATTTATTCCAAAATTCTTTTATTAAATTACTAAAAAAAAAGTTATCAAAACTACATACCTTTGAGAAAACGAGATCTTTACAGCAAAAATCACAATATTTTTTCAACAGCTTTTAATCGAACGGCGCGTTTAAATCATATCAGAATAATAATGAGCCGCATTGAGGCGCGCGTTGCATTTCGGGAAAACTCTCATCCCTCCTTTGATCTTATATTAACTATGGTGCAAACTAACATAAAATCTTACCGTGCTCCTAGCATCTTCTGACAAGTGCCTGTTTACATACAGTAGAGTTGTAACATATTGAAAAAGACCGTCTGTAAAATGATTACATATCCGCCATCTTGGAATAGTTATACCAGAAGAACTTTTTATATATTTATCCTCTGCTTCTCTATATTCCTTTGGTAGTGTCTGGACAAAGCCTCGAATAACGTTCCACATTATTTCGTTTGCTAATAAACTAAAATGTACAAGAAATATCTTAGGTTCGTGCGCAAATTGGCACAATTTTCCCTTGCATTCAAAGAGGACCCATGAAACCGAAACCAATTCAAGTCGAGCTAACCGTACCAATATACTGTACTGTTTATTGCCCCCAATAACTTCGTTTTCATGTAGCTATTTCTTCAAGCTTCGTATACACTAGACTTGCTTATATAGTATCGATCCACTATAGTGTACGTTACATGACGTAGCACGGAGAGGCGGAACGAGAAAAAGAGACTTGTCAACTTCGGAAAATCTCGGTTCAAAACTGAACCGAAAATGCAAGACTTGTTTTAATTGTTTTCTTTCAATTTCTTTCTGTATTATTTACTATTATAATAGAACTCATGTTGTTTGCACTGTGCTAGATCAATACATATAAACACTGACAGAAAACAATTAAAGCAAGTCTTGCATTTTCGGTTCAGTTTTGAACCGAGATTTTTACAAGTCTGTCAAGACAAGTCAAGTTGACAAGTCTCTCTTTCTCGCTCCGCACCTCCGTACTACGTCATGTAATGTGCACTGTAATAGATTGATACCATATGACAATGAAAGAGAGACTTGGAGCAAGTCTACGTATACACCAGCGTACAAAGAGACTTGTAAGATTACAGTGCCATCGTCGTCGCAAGGAAATTGCTATTTGGCTTAAAGAGTTTGCGTTTCTTAAGCCTCCTGAGAGGAATTTTTATAAAACTTCTAAAGTTCTTCAATTTAAAAATTCATGATTTCGTAATGCACTTTTAATTTAATTAATAAACTTTCTGCAACCTCGTCCCCCAGGTTTGAAACAACGTGTGCTACATCAGAAGCATGAACGAATTGGTTTCGTTCCTATTGAAATACACACAATATCAATGCAACAACGAACTATTAAAGACAGGTTGATTGTAATTGGAGTAGAGAACAAAGATAAATATATTTGTGCACGAAGCATCGGGAAATAACCTTCATGTGCGCCTAGTGCCATGCTAAAACAAGCAAACATGAAAATGAGGTCACTAAAGTGCAATAAACTGTAAAGCCTATATATGAAGACGTCACGAAACACGATCTACGTCTACACAATCGCCACGTCAGGCCATGTTACACGAGGCAAAATCTTGAGAATTCTTCAAATAATGTGAAAACCGAATTCAATAGCTTTTTAGTATTTATAAAAGATGAAATATAGCAGAATCCATTTGTGTTGCGATATCTTTTTAAATTTTTCAAATTTTTATGTACCTCGGATCCCGTATCAATTTGGCAATAAGCTGTTGGAAAATCCGCTCACCAATGAGCGAGAAACTCAATAAAACTCCATATTTGGTCATTAATTGAGCCAATTGAGGGGACATCACATCCTTTTTGTTTGGTCACTTATAGGAGTTGTTTTATACGGTTAATCCTGTTTTTAACGTCCCATACTACCGTTTAATTAGGACAAAACTAATCCAAGATGGCGGACAATATAAGTCAAAATATTTCCATAACTATATATAAGCAATATATGAAGTGGCCCATATCAAGGTAAGGTATTAAAAGAAGTCGCTAGCGGAGTTTTATATAGTTCTAAACGTGCATGATTATGGCCTACCTCTTCGGTTTATCGTGAAGCCAGTCGACAATCTTCTTGATATTGTCGGGGTATATTATCATCAACGTTTTGTATGATGGAATTATTTTATTCGTGTCGCTAAGTATTTCCTCAAAATACAAGCTCCAGTCAAACTGGAAAAGTATAAATTATAGTGTAAGGCATGACATGGCATGGCATGGTATGGTATGGTATAATGATACGATAACTGAGCTATGGAATAATTAACCTGCGTAGCAGGCGTTTAGTGCGGGCGGGAGAAGAGAGGCGTCGCTAAATAAACGCCTGCTTGGGCAGGGATATTCTCTACGTATTAAATAATAACTGTCTTTCAATACGAAAGCATAGGACAAGTAGGTTTGCTAATAGTTTACTAATATGTTTGCTAATAGTAGGTTGATCAATGGGAAGCATTTCCGAAGATTCTTCGGAGAAGAACACATTAATCATAGGCATTTAGATGCCTATGATTAATTTGTTCTTCTCCGAAGAATCTTCGGAAAAGCTTCCCATTGGTCAATCTCGTTAACGGAAGTAATTACGTAACTCAAATGTCAACAACAATTTTGCTCGCGTATCGGAAAATATGCCGCCTGTTAATGCTTTCGAGGGAACTCTTATATTTCAAGTATTTAGGCTTCGAAATTCAGTGGAAACCAGAATAGAGAAAGTCTACTATTAATTTGCTACGTGGTGAAGACACCGGTTATCGCGATTCTTCCTACGGAATATGGAAAATCGGCAAATCAAAGCTTGCCCGAGCAGGGATATTCCTCATAGTTGTATTGTTATTTGTTCACTTTAAAGTATAATTCAAAATCATAAACGTGTATTTTCATATGTGATAGAGACTTCCCTTGATTTACATAAACTTTAACTTTGATTTTCTCTACATACACAACGAATTTTTTGAAAGCTATTTTGCCAATGAACTTATACTTGATCGATCGTTTTTGAAGCAATTTAAAACATTCGCAGTGCGTGTTTTATCAGACCATCTTTATATCTGATAAAACAATGCATTTATCTACACCCATAAAGTCTCTGCAAATCTCGCCCTAGTTGCCAGCAAAAAGCATGCATGATGCTAAATATAAATCTCGACTATGATTGGATAATGGGTGAAGGTGCTAATTACAAAACGTCAATCATCCTTGATGGGCGAAAACAAATTTGTCATAGCCATTTGGGCAGGCGTTTCCTCTTTTCCCGCCCGTGCTAAAACGCCTGCTACGCAGGCTATGGGATAATGTGATATGGTATGGTATGCCATGATCAGGTATGGTAAAGCAAAGTATGGTGTATATTACATTATGGTATAGTATGGTATTGTTGGAAATGGAATACTATAGTATGGTATTATAGTATAGTAATGCATGGTAATGTATGCATGGTATGCGTGATACTATTCCATGCTACACTATCATAAAATATATTAAGATACGATGGTCTGAAACCCGTAAATTTCAAAAACTAGAGAAGGCCTTTGTTTGATGTTCAACTGTTACCTCACCTTGCACAAAGCCTTTGTGTCAATTTCATTAAATATTATACCTCAAATTCAAATTGTCCAATGAAAAAACAGCATTTGCACCATGTGATAATGTGATTTTTTACGGTATTTCACTCCAGCGTGGGATACTATAATATCCCACGGCAGATCCACCGTGGGATATTATAGAATCCCACGCTCACGCGTGACGTGTGGACACCACGCTCTAAAAAAATATGGCGTTCGCGAGCTGTTGTTTGTGATTTCGTATTTTCGTACAGAATATTTGACTTAGCAAAACATTTTCAAGAGGTACTGTATGTTACCTTTAATGATCCAAAGGATACATGCTCAAATATTTTAAAGAGGAAACGTTAAAAACTCAGGTATACCATACGAAATTAAAAATTGTATTAATATATTGGCGTATTTTATAATATTCTGAACTTAGTGAGTACTTTAACTTTCGGTATAATATATCATTTTTAGACCCTCCGTTCGGGGAATTCGGCGATATTTCCCTCAGTGATGATATTTTCCTGAGGGCAAAGCCCCTCGGAAAATATCATCACTTCGGGAAATACTACGCCGAATCCCCCTCGCTCCGGATCTATAAATAATAAATATTAGTCATCGTCGTTGCACATTTCATCTCATCTATCCCTATTGGACGATTACTTCATTATACGAAAAGAGCACGCACAACTGATTGACATAAATTCAGACAAAAACATAACACAATGTTTCTAGACAATCATATCTTGATAGACTATGCATAAAACATTAAGGTAATTCCGCAGTAATTGTTCCCGAAATGAGAATGTGCGGAAACTTCCCAGCCATGGAGTTTATGACATACAAAGTAAATCACACAAAAAAGTCGGGGTCACCGAACTCGTTAAGAAGATATGACAATCACAATATACCACCTTTACCCCAATATGGCGCCATCTTGATGCTCATTACGAACAGGGGCGAAACTTGAGGGGGGCAATCAAAGGGCAATCAAAGGTCTCTTATAAATAAATGATAGCACATAGGCGTACCGGGCGGGGGCAATATTCGATCAACAGTCGGGCAATTTTGGTTTGAAAAAAAAAACGGGACAAATTCAGTCAATTTTATCTAAAATTAAGTCAATTTTTTCGCAAATTGTGTGAGTTTTCGAAAATTTGTGTTATGTTCCGAAAAATATAGGTTGTCCGGAAAATTTTTTTGACCCTTAAAATGGTACACAGACCGAAATTTTTTTGGCGGGAGGGAGGGAGGTCGCCAAAATAATTTTTTTTTTTGGTACTAGTCGGGCAATTTTTGAAAAGTCAGGCAATTTTCTTTCCGGCCCCCTAATTTTTTCCTTCCGGTACGCCCATGGCAGGGCATCACTGGTTTTGGCAGGGCAATTCTGCCAGACACCTCCCTAATTAAAAGGGGCTAGTTTCGCCCTTGATTACGAGTAACAGCAAAATCACAACAGCCCGATATTTATTGACGTTTTTAGCGCGGATTTTGCTTTAGTAAACCTATCTTGTAAGTATTTTTGAAAAATATTGTGTTTTGAGCAAAATGAAACTACTAACGTGTATAATTCTGATCCATAAATGTCTTTTCAACATTTCTTTACATATTTTTCTTTGAGAACATGCATTGATAAAGGATTTTTTTTCAAGATCCAGAAATGATTTTTCTTTCAATTTCGGATATGAAATGTAAAATGCATTAAAGAAATAAATTATCAGTTAAAGAACGGGGGTCACCGATCTTTTTAGGGAATTGTGGCATTAAAACGTGAAATACAAGTAAATAAGTGTACTACAGACACAGGAACCCTAGCTACACTTTTGTACGCCTTTTTGAAAACATTGATTTTAACGTAGGCCTAATTCTTTGCACGAATGTAACCAAAGATGTTTTGAAGTAACATAAAATTGTCATAAAGTGATTTTTTCCGTGAACGGTACGTATAATGGATGAAATAATTATAGGTTATACGATGTGCGCAGTAAAAGTGCGCAATGCAAAACTGCGGAATTACCTTAAGGTATAAAAGCATGAAAGTAACAAAATATTGTAAATCTTACCTTATACGATGTGAACTTGTTCAACTCATCAACTGTCATAAATTTGATGTTCTTTTTAAGTTCATCTATACTGCTAGAATGCCCCTTAACCTGCAAATGGATAAAAGTTATATTCTTTGTAATGTGTATTTACAGTCCAACCTGTATTAAGCGTTGCCGCATTGATCGATCACCCTTTATTAAGCGGTCATTTGGTAAACTCCCAAAATTTATAAAGACAATGCTATTGAAGTGACCTTTATGTTAAAATTTCCACCTTTCGCACAGTCCCGAACATAAGGCAACGTCAAAATATAATTTAGCTATCAAATTATTGTTAGACAAAGCTCAAAAATTGGGTGCATGTGGGCGACATTAGATGAAATTAGGCGACATTGGGTGAAATTAGGCGACCTTAGCCCCCAAAGTGGACCTTTATTTGATATGTTGCATGTGCCAAACTTAGCACACCACAACAGCTAAACTTAGCACAGCTCTGTCATTTTGTTTATTTATTGTTAGTTCAGTTCTCCTATTTTATTAAATTTATTAAAAGTTGAAAACCACAGTATAAAGACGTATTTCGGATAACTGCTATATGGGCTGATTTGCTGATTGAAAGTATCGAGTATTCTAAGCAATGTAGAGATTTTCACTAGCCAGTCAAAGGGCTTCAGTCAAATGTGGAAAAGGGACAATTTAAATTTGTTAGCTTGCCAGCGACTTACATCGTCCTGTGGGACATCGCATAAATTGGTTTCCCGCGTTTGACCTCGTTATAAGAAATGTCTATTGCTGTCATCCGAAATACGTCTTTATAGTTTCAACATTTTCTGTGTGAACAATGTTGAAATATGGCGACAAAATTTAAACTTTGCAATTTTTATATATGTATAGCATTTAGTGCACCGTACGAAAAATGCATCCTTTGTTTACAATTATCACAAAAACCAACAAAACTAATATTACGACAGTGTTTCTCCATAATTTGGAAACCTCTGGAGCAATACAGAACAATACACAGTAAATGACAACAGACTCCACAAGCGGAAATGGTAACTCAAGATTCTTGTATTTTGACTGCAAACAAATTAATAATGCATACTTTCTTAAATTCTTTTTCCAAATCAACAATACGATTCACTTCTTCGTCAATGGTCGAGTTAGAATTAGAATTAGAACCAAGCAGTTTGAATATAGTTGACATTAAAATCTTGTACTCTTCATAGGTATCAGGTTCCTGTAAACACAGAATGAGTCACTATGAAGTCCTCAGTTATGGCTATGCGAGAAAATTTCTCCATTCAAACTTTGTAATGCATTTGAAATGAACCTTCATAGTTAAGATTAAAAACTTTTGTTTCGACTTAGAAATTCGTTTCCCGTGTTAAAAAAAAAATTCAATGATCAGGGGGTTCAGTACGCACCCTTCCTACTCCCGTAAAAAATTAAACTCTGGTATTCCATTCTAGTTATCGTCAATACTACTTGTTATATTGAAACGATTGATTTTCGAGTACACGAGAAAATATTCAAGCGCAAATACGGCGGGTCGCTATAACCATATTCATATCATAGATATCTTATATAGACTAGATAGCGCATCTCTTTTAGTAAAACTGAAGCCAAGAATATTCCAGCGGTTACCCCCATTTGAATAGATGGCGGCAATGTTGGAGTTTCCCACTCGCTAATACGCTTAAAAAACAACAATAACTTTCATCATTTGAATAGTTTGAAATTGTATTTGGAATAGGTTTAAAAATATCTTAATGTTTAAGTTCCCTGTTTAAGAAATAGAAAACATACGAGTCTTCTCATTTCATTGGAATATCCTGAGTCAGCAATCACGGCTTCAATTTTTGAATTGCAGAATAATTAGATGCACTATCTAGTGTATATAAAATATCTATGATTTTAACAAATATAAAACATTTTCAGTGTTGATATACAGTTGTATCAACACGAGTGGAAACTGGGAAATTAAACGAGAAATTGTGTGGGAAACTCCAACATGGCCGCCATCTATTCAAATGGGGGTAACCGCTGGAATATTCTCGACTTCCATTTTACTAAAAGAGATGCGCTATCTAGTGTATATAAGATATCTACACTGTTAATTTCAGGGTGTTAAAATAACACATCGGGTGGTGTTAGATTAACACCAACTGGTGGTGTTAAACAAAGGTGTTATTTTAGCACCCTTTTTCGGTGCTAATTTAACACGACATAAATAAAAATATTTTGCAAAGTGTTAATTTAACACTCAAATTGTTTAACACCACTTTAGATGTGTTAAAATAACACCCACTTAAGGACAGGTGGTGTTAAAATAACACCGGTTTCTGGTGCTAAATTTTTGGTGTTAAAATAACACCATAAGTGGTGTTAAGAATTTGTATTCCCCAGTGTTAAATTAGCACTGTTTGTGGAGTGAGAACATGGGTGTTAAAATAACACCTTTTTGGAGGTGTTAAATTAGCACGCAGCACGAGTGTTAAAATAGCACCTTTTTGGTGGTGTTAAATTAGCACTGAGCACGGGTGTTAAAATAGCACCTTTTTGGTGGTGTTAAAACTGTTTGTGCAGTTAGAATAACATATATTCTTAAACTAAAACACTTTTACAGTATAACACGGTCTATAAACACACGTTTTTAGCCTGGTCTACCGTCACAGGCTAGGGCTGGCCGATTACAGGTATTTCGCCAAATTAATTAATTGGCAAATATTTATCCGAATATTATTTACTGTTAGCATGAAACAGCCGCATATTACAGTAATTTACTGGCAAATTATAAACCATTTCACAAATGAAACATTTGAATTCAGAAGTTAATACTTTTAGACATATAAATAATAAATTAACAGAAATAGTTCCCATGTCACATGCATGTGTCATGTATGTTTATGCATTTCATCATACAGATTGGAAACTGGCCATGGCAAAATTGGACCTCAAAATATCGCATTTCAAATATTATAACACGCTATAATTTGCAGCAGTAGCAACACAATATGAAGATAACACACAATGAAGCCGAAATATTTGAATATTCGCGCGCCGCATGATCGAGCTTTCAACCAATGAGGATAGCGCCACCGTGAAATCTAATACCTTCTTCTCACATCAATACATACTGGCATTTATATAGTTTGTGGTCGTTTGTATGGGAATATATCTGCTATTGTGGTGCGAGGGTTCTATTAGGATTGCTTCTAAGTGTCAGTGCGATGGAAGCGATACAAACTGATTAAAA